CTCTTTGAATGTTGATGTCGTAATGGCAGAAAAACTGAGCAATAAAAACCCTAATCCACAAAAATATTCCCCAGCCTGAACTCTCTCACCATCTATTTTTCTCATACTCTTTCTCACAGACACGCTTACACCGAAACACACACACTCACACTGCAGTCTATGCTGCATCAGGCAGGTTACGTAACAGCTTCTAGTGCAAGAGAGAGGGGGACAAGGATTTGTATAATGGAGATGAAAGAGAACAATGTATGCTGATAAAAATAGGAGAGGTACGTGATTTATGAATATTCATATCGCAGTAATCAAATGGATGGTGCAGAGAACCTTGCTAGGATGCAGTCTTAATAATAACAAAACAAAAAATGGCTATGTACTAAGAGGAAAAGTATTCAGCAATATTTTATTAGTGATTACAAAGATAAATGTTCTCCTTCCTGTGCAGATTGTGCTACAAAAGTGGTTTGTGATGATGCACAACTATTGTGTAACTATTGCCTTGGTCTAATTCTCCAAATAAGTGGCCATAAATTACTGTTAGAACTTTAATTCTTTCCTACTTGGGTCAGATGTTGTTCACCAGTCACTGTGACAATGTAAATTATATTAAAATAGTAACAATACAAACATGTACTGGTTAATATTTCTACCCAGAAGTGTTTGCTCACTTAAAAAAGAAAGAGGGGAAAAACCTACGGAGGGCAGCGTCTATGCAGATAAACATGTTAGCAGTGAATCATAAACCTTTCAGTGATTTATTTCTAAATACTAAACCTTCACCCTGACACAGGCTATGCTCAAATATGGACTGTTCACATAAGATTAGATGAGATTTACAGCATCACATATCATACAAATACATAGGTTTTATAGTACATCACTGCTAAATGTTTGCGCTGACCTGTCTTCTCTGCTCTGCTGTGTCGGTGCTGCTAACAGCAGAATCTCTCTGGCTAAAATAACAGCAGCCATGGCCAGGCTGTGCCTTTGTGTCTGGTTAAAATAACAAAATATCTCAAACCCAACACTTTTTTATAATGTTAAACTCAGGATCCAGTATAGGCTAAATTGAAAACCTCCATATCCATCTCAGAGTTTTCCGTGGTATTTATTTATTTCTATCATTTTGTCCTCTTTTCCTAATCTGAGGCCACTTTGCAAAATCACCTCCCTCCTGTTTGTTAATCCATCCACCCATACATGAATGTTGCCAAACTGCACTTAAAGCCTCCCAGATACATCCTTCATTTGTCTCTTCACTGACTCTTTCTGCCTGTTTTATTTCTAAATCCCTGGGGCTGCCAAGCTGCAGTGCTATCAGTGCCCCAGCTGAACCTCTGTTAGGTCAGGGAGAATACGCAGCTCAGTTAACTCACTGCTGCCACCTCACGTCAGTTTGATTTTGTTTGCAGTTGTGGAAAGGGAGGATGTGTTGCCCCCTGTTGGTGCAAAAATGGCCCACGTCTTATACATACAGTATTTTCATTAAGTCAACTTCTAACAAGAGGTACTGCAACATCATTTGTCATCTTTTTGTTTTGTCGTTTGTTAAAAATATGTAAGCTAAAAAGAGTAGAGGGAGAAAAATACCCAAAAAGCTTCTGGTGAGACCTTGGAAATCACATCCTGTGCCTTATTATAAACTATTAAAACTATTAAAAAGATGTAAGCTAAAAAGAGTAGAGGGACAAAAATACCCAAAAAGCTTCTTGGGAGACCTTGGAAATCACATCCTGTGCCTGCATCATTACAGTGCAGTGGCTTTATCATTGTGTATGCTGATTTCCTCCAGCAGTGTCTGTGTATATCTATTAATACCTCAGTGCAGAGCACTTCAGACCAGGACGCCCACTCACAGGAAGGAATTAAACCCCTGCAACACTGATGACATAATCAAGCTGAATGAAATTGCTGTTCCTTTGGTTGAGTGGGTTTTCAGTGGGATGGAATTATACAACAAGATCCCACTGTGGGTGAATGCGCACACACACACACACGTGGGGGCTGTTGAAAACACACACAGACACAAACACACAGGCTGCTGGCAGACTTGCAATACGCTTCTTATCTCAACTCTACCGTGGGCTCAATGTTAACTTTTTTAAGTAAACGTTAATGTTAAGGGGATTATTCTAGAATATAATTATCATGTTGTCACTACAGGCTCAAGTCCAGGGATGAAACAACCAAACGTTGATACAGGCGACATACTGGGATACTATAGGCAAGGACTGCTGTAGAATATCAATACGGGTGATATTAAATACAAATAAATATTGAGGTCAAACTTTCTACACACTTCTGCCACACACCCACATGTCTGACTCTGATCTTTTAATAATGTATTGGACTGAAAGCATGGAACACCACTTCACTCAGTCATGTCCAGTTTACCTTATAGCCCCTCCAGAAAGCTTGAATAAGCAGAACAGCCTGATCTTCAGTCAGCCGTAAAAACAGAGGGATTGGACGCCTGGGACTGAGAACAGAGAGAGAAAAGGGAGAAAGTATAACAGACAGACCAGACAGAAGAAGAGCAACATAGCAAAATGTACAGTTGAATATTGTTTATTTATCTTTTTTTTTTTTACAATACGTAACACTGTAGTGAAATGAATGCACTTTAAATATAGTGACAGGTTAGAGGGACACTCACTGTGTACTCAGCCTGTCCTTGACAAATGGGATGTCAGTGAATTTTACTGGTTCCCATCCTCGTCTTTGTGGATTATGACTGAAAAACGTCATAATTATTATGACAAAAGAGCAATTTTATGAGATAAAAGAGAAGAGGTTCTTACTTGTACAGCCACTCAGTTAGGAAGTCACATGGGTTAAATACCGTTGTTTTCCGCTGCAATACAAAAGTATAAGTTGAGGGCTACCTAACACAGAACTGCTGCCAAATGTCAGGTAACATTAGGACATTTTTAATCTCATGTCACATCTGGAAATCTCCAGTGTTTCCATGTGAATGGATGCAGCTAAGCATGACTAAGGAGTAATGTGATCTATATTTGGTATGGGTTTTTTTATCCTTTACAAAGTGAAACAGTTACTGATATACATTTTCTCAGGAATACAGACTGTACATTGTTACTAATTACTGGTTGTTAATGAGGTGGATGCTAATCACATAAAATACCCACCTGAAAACATTCATGTTTCTGAGCTTCTGTTAACAGAGCTTCCAGTCCAGGCAACAACACTGGAAAAACACTCTTCTCCATAAAGCGTTCAACAGGACCTGGCACACACACACGTCAGAAAAGCCCATTGATTTTACAGCTTGAGTAGATGGATCTGTGTATAAATCAACGTGTTGATTCCTACTCTGAAGCCTAGGGGGCGATGACCGATTTTTCTTCCTGTCATCTACGGACACCTTATGGAACCAGACAGAGTTTTAAGTACTTGAAGAACATGCAGTAGACTGACGTGTACGGGAAAACCTTTTAAGGTTTAATGGCTTAGTGTGGAAAACAGATATCATCAACAACACTGTTTGACTTTTAAGCTATTTTTGAACTAGGATTGTATATTAGTTAAAATTATTTATCTATTACAGAAGAAGCAAACACATAGGAAATATATATATATATAAATATATGAATATAGAAAAATTAGACAAAACTATGTAAGATATATAAAAGGTCAGTGTAAGAATTTATATCTCAGATTGTAACTGCTGTTTTGCAGATAGTGCATAACATTATTATTTTGTGATTAGGAATGTATGACCATCATAGATCACTGTATATTTTATATCCACAATAGCTTTTAAATTTAAAAGAAATCATTATCAGGATGGGTTTTGCAGCTCGCCTTTCCAGTGGCATGTCCATTGGAAACTGGGAAGTGTGTGCTGGTGCTGTTCTGGGAGAACTGGGGGTCTCCTGAGCTGTAGTGAGTCCAGTCTGCAGAGACAGGACCCTGCGCCTGCTCAGCTTCATATTCTGCATAATCAAACAAAAACAAGAGAAAATATATACTTTTTACTTCTCTTTTCACTTTATTATTTTTTCAATATCGTTATAGCCTTCTGACCTTTAGAGTTTACCAGCAATATTTGGACATTCTATATGGACAGACCACACAGACAAACTAATACACTTACATGGTAATAACTTCAAAAAATGTAATAAACGTTTAATGTAACAAGTGCCTCAGAACACGTTTAATTTAATTTACCTTCACATACGTGTTGCCAAAGTGATGTATCGGCACTGATTCTTTTCGCCATTTTTCTGTTATTCTGGCGATCGTCAGGACGGTCTATGGTTGCTAAGGAAGTAAATGTTGTCTAGTAATTCAACTTCCGGTATTAATATTTAAGAGTTTATACAGAAGAGCAAACCAGCAAACATCAATCGTTATAATTATTAAGAAACGCAACATGAGATTGGCATATAGTTGCACAGTAATTTACGTGAATTGTTTATTTATTTTTTTACTTTTTTTCAAATCTGCCACTGGATGGCAGCAGATACCTCAGAATGAATGCTATGGATGCGTAGTTAGAGTTGTATTTCTTGAAATTGGACAAAAACGTTTTGGAAACAGTGGAATATTGTTATTGTTGTTTATTTAATATTGTTTGTTGACATGGTAAACAACAATCGTTTCGTTTATTTCTTCACAATCTAGAACATCTCTGTTGCTGTAATTTATTGCCACATATTCTACAGGTGAAATGTTCAACCTTTGTAGTGAGCAGCTTACACAGTCAATTAAATATACTTTTTCTAGTTGTACTTGTTACACATTAATAAATATTATTAATAAATTAAAACATAAAACATTTTACTATTCACATTTGATTAAATGCAGTGAGAGTGTGTCAGATTAACAAGTGTTTTAAAATGTGCTATAGCACAAAAGTGGCCAGTACCAGTGGCACAGGGATTGTTAATTTGTTAACAATAGTATTTTAAGAAGCAGCAAGCATCTGTCAAATAATGGTGAAAATGGTAGTATAAAGTAGAGCTCATTCAAGACAGAGATTTCAAAATTAAAGTCTTTATTGGAATATTTCCAAAGCAGTTAAGTCATCTCATGACTGAACAAAAATAGCCATTTATCTTACAAAAAGTCCCAGATGGTTCCAAAATGTGCTGAATAGCTTTTTTTTTCACAAAATATACATCGCAGTAACTCATAATGCAGGAACTAAATGACGTGTTAATAAATAAACATTATACATGACATTTCAGACGTTAGACTCCTGTCTGCTCCAAAAAGTAGTGACAACGCAAACACCATAATTGATTCTGTGTAGTGAAGACCCGTGCCAAGCATTTATCTAACATGTAATTGCAGTGCATTTAATACACTACTACCCCTCCACACGCAAACAACAAAAAATTGAGTAACAGTAAATAAAAATACACCAACTGTTATGATAAAGCAACACTGATAAAAGCGGATATAAAGGGTCGACTATCAATGACAAGATGTACAGATTACATTCCTTCGGGAATAGTGGGAGTCTTTGTCAGGTGGACGTTTAGTTACATGTAGAGGACAGAGACAGAGACTTAAAAAAATAAAACACACCAGGTTGTAGGAAACCGTCTGTAAATCAGGAATTAACTTGGGCAGAGCATTAAAAAGGTCGACCGTTATTTCAGTGTCATTCACACATACACATCCACACACACTCTCACTCCTGCTTCGGCTCTCATTCTACAAAGCGTGGTACTTTTTCTTTTGTCCAATAATGGAGGGAAAATTGTTAAGTCACGGCAGTGACATCAACCTCGCTCTCCCACAAGAGGGCGACGTAGCACAACTCTGTTTTGCTGTTTTTGCAACTATTATAAGCATTACAATTGACACAGGCCTTCTGCTGTGCACCTAATCAGTGAACTCTAGCAGGAAATTTTAACACTTTGTTTGAGGCCAAATCATTCAAACATTAATCCTTTTGCATTTTTTGTAAACTTTTCATTTACACCAAATGCAGCATGGGACAAAACTTTGGTTTGGGCAGTTGACTTCAATCGTAGCTGAGCTAGCTTAGCCCCACCAGGGGTCTCACATTCTTTTTCCGATTGGGAATATATTTTTTATTTTAAAAAGTGAAGCACAAACATGCGCCACACAACACAAGGTGGAGCTGACATACATTTTATAGTTGTGTTTGGTTCAAAGCATTGCTATACTAGCTTATTTCATCATCCTTTAATCGCCCAGCCCTTTGATTCTACATGGATTTGTAATTTGAGAGTTCTGTGAAAGTCTAAAACTGTCAGAACATAATAATGACAATCAGAATGGTTCTCAGGAGGAGCCACATGCTTTAGTGCATTATCTAGAATTTTAAAAAGAGACATTTTGTTGAATGGTCACAAAAGTAAAGAACTCAATGCTCTCAACACACGGAGCAGCTTGGAGGTTCTAGTAACATTAGTTAAAGGTGTGTAGTTAACTTGCAGCAAGACTCAATTTTTCAGAACATTTAGAGCATTCCCAGAGGCAGCAAAAAATCTGTATCTAGCTATGCATGAGGCCAAAAAATGTTCATGTGCTCCAGTCCAGCATGACGGTCACACTGATCACCTCATGTTACTGTTAGAACCTGACAGCATTTAAAAACCAAACATGACCAGACAGCAGCTCAGAGAGGCTGGATTGTGTGTTTCTACCAGAAGAAGAATAAAAAAGTTTAACCAAGATGCAGTGAGAAGAAATAACAAAGATGAGTCAATTTCCTCTTTCCAGGCGTACACCTTCCTGTAGAAGTGGGAAGATGAGTCAATTTCCTCTTTCTAGGCGTACACCTTCCTGTAGAAGTGGGAGGTGCCAAAAGGGGACAAAGGATTTATCTGCTATAGTGGAGCCTGGTCCCTCTCAGGCTGTTTCAGTGCAAGTGGCCTTTTACAAAAAACAAAAGGTATGGGAATATGAGCTTTTTCCATGGTCCTACTCCTCTAATGTGACATCAACAATCATCGCGTAGTCTTCTCTGTGATTCCTCCAAAATTACAAAATAAAAAAAACAAACAGGTTCTTGCTTCAGTCTGAACACATTCTATAAACATTCCATGGCTTCCGTACAAAAAACATCTTCAAAGTATGAACAAGTTCCTCCACCCACTGTTAGAGAAAGAGCTATGTACAGAGAGGTTGATATGGTAGTGGTTGGTTCACTGAGGTCTGGGTTCTCCGTGCACTCTGAACCGATACAGGCAGGTGTAGTCCGGGTGACCCCAGTTAGACAGCACTCGCACCTCAATGATCTGGAAGGTCTTGTCGTTTGGCTCCTGAATAAGAATGGAAACTGTTTACCGTATGATTGCAAACCTTTACACCTAAATTATTTCTAAACATTATTTTAACTGTTACCATAACAGGGAAAGTTTGCAGCGATTCTCCATCTTCCTGATAAATGTAGTTTCCCAGGAGCTTTCCTTCTTCTTGGTATTCATCATCCAGACCCTGTACACAACAAACAAAAGATATAATTTGTGGCGCTCGCCTAACATGCAATACATGGGGCTCAAGGATGAAGTACAAGATTTTCTTACAAATACAGTAAAGTTGCGAGGAGCACTGGTTATATTTCCAGTTGGGGACAATGTCTTAGGGATGTGTTCCACACAGAAAGATGTGGGCAGGATCCTCAAGGACAGCCGGATCACCAGGTAACCCTGAGTGCCTTTAAAAGCCCAGCAGTTCCCTGGGTAGACATCAGGCTGAGACAGAAAGGTGACGAAGAAGTGATGAAGCAATTTAAAATCATGACCAACTTTGAGGTCATAACCTAAACATTGCTCTTCTATCCTTAACTTAAGCTTTTACTTAACTCACTTAACGTCTTAATGGGAAACAGACGCCCCTGTGTATCACTAGAACCAGCCTAGGTACCACTAGTGGTAAGTGTACCACAGGTTGAACACATCTGCATTAAATGATGTCAGTGGTAAACCTTACCTGGATGACAACACGTGGAGACTGAGAGAAGTACCAGAGTGGCAGACCAAACAGGCTCATGAGGGCAGTCTTTGTCTCATATGTCTCTGAGCAGCGAGTGCTGAGAATACTGCCACCTGCAGACAGACACAATTAACAGTTACGCCAGCGTGACATGAGCATTTGTTCATGCGTCTGTGAAGTAGCAGCTGCGGATCAAATCTGATGATGAAGCCTGAACTTTTCTAATACTACACTACATCATAGCGTAGTATCATGAAACCGATGCTTTCTAACCAGTGCTCTTGAAGTACTTTAGATACATTTTACGTAGTTCAATAACAACAACAGCATACTAAGATAATGTGATTTATCAACAGACCTAGAAAAAGGCCCAGGATGTTGTGACATCAGCAGTAGTCTGCCTTCTTACCTCCTGACTCCAGGGCGTAGTCTACCAGACCTGTTTGGTCCTGGGAGTAGAGCTTTAATGCATTTTGGACGAGCAGCTTCACTTGCTGTAGAATAAAAGAGGACAGAAGTGTGAAATAACTGACGATTTTGAAGCTGTGTTTTAAATGTATATCATTAATGTTGCTTCATATTTTTATTAGTATTTTTACTAGATGTTAAACTTCCAACCTGAGTGAAGAGAGATAACGATAATGAGGCTGTGTGTATTTCAAGTCTTATCCTAGTGTCTCAATAGTGCTTGTTATCTAGACTTGACGGTGTTCAGAGTGGTTGTTTTCTTTGGCTGTTCATTGGTCTTGTGACAGGACTGAGTGTACTAAAGAAGCCTCAACTTAGCTAAGTTATTTTATTGATGTCACATTTCAGAGTTTTTCGGTTCAAGATCATCCACAGTCTACAGCTAATGTTAAAAAACTGCATTTAAAACTTTGACTCAGTTGATAATCCACAGAGATGTTGTTCTCAGTTGAAGGTGTACTTCCATTACACCTACCTCTTCTGTCAGTCCCTCAGAGGAGACAGTGTGCTGGACAGTACCAGTCACCGTCTGGATGATGCTCTTGGCCTGAGACTCGGCCTCACCCAGGGTCTGGGCTCGGTTCAGATCTAGCTGCAGGGACACGTTTCTCAAGATTCTCAGTTCCAGTTCAGCCAGTGAGGCCTGCAGGTCTGGCGTGTTCACATAGCGCTGTGACAGCCAGTATACCAGAGACTCAGGCAGCTCTCCCTGCTGCTGTCCTGACGCAGCACTGCCAAAGAACAGAGCCTGCAACTCCTTGCGCACCTGAGACGAAACTTGGTCTGAGATCTGGGGAAAAAAAGCAGAATGGAAATACAATGAGATACAAAAACACATTATTTCTGAATAATTGGTAACAGTTGGTTATTTAGTTTCTTACCATCTGCTGCAGGTTGTCCAGCTGCTCACACTTGCCCTTGCATCCCACGACACCCTGCAGGTCCTGTTTGATTTTACCCAACTCCAGTTCTAGTCTCTTCACCTCTGCCAGCAGAGCATCATGGTCCTCCTGCTGCACACCCACACTGAGCAAGAAACAAAAAAATAACGTAAACTGTCACCGTCTTTGTATGGTATCAAACAAAAATATAATTTAAATTGTTTTGTACTTGTTACCTGATGGATGCAGGGTCTGCTGCTGGAACGACAACTTCTTTCTCCTTCTGCTCCTTCTCCTGCTCAAATTGCTGCTGTTTCTGCTGCACCTCCTACACAACAAATATCATTAATTAACAAAAAAGACAATCACCTTTTAAGCGAACAAGTCTTTGCCTGTGGCCCCCTCTAAGAACTCTGCTCATTCCCAGTATCATCCCTCATGCATACTGCGTGTCCTTGCTTGCCAGGATGTTTTGTCTAATTGACAGAGATAATTTTTATCTGTTTTGGACAAACTGTGCTAGAATTTCATCCTGTCTGAAACATTTGTTCTTTGTGAAATCGTATGTCAAATCCAAGGCCTGCAAACCAAATTGGGCCCACCACGTCATTTTATGTGACCAACTACAGCTTAACATGTGCATGGTTGTCGAGTCTACGCTGGTGATCATCAACGAAAATAATTGGTGACCACTGGTCACCTACGCTAATGTTTATTGGTCGAGTTAAATGCAGTGGTCAAACTCTGTTAGTGTATAACACGTATGGTGGGTAATCGTTCTTGGTGAAAGACGACTGTTCAATAAATGTTAATCCTGTTTGGTTTATGAAGTTTAGATTAAAAGTTGATGATGGCAGAGAAGTATTTCCAATTTGACAAAAACCCTGACTCTTCCGTACACTAACCTGAGTCTTGGCAGCCAGAGCAGTGAGCAGTGTTTCTAAATCAGCCAGCCGTGCTGCCTGACCCTCCTGTTGCTGTTTCTGCTCTGAGGTGCTCTGAGGTAAACAGAGATAAGCAAGAGATAAAAGCAGAGGTGGAGAAACATATTTGATGCAAAAAATCACTGCTGTTGCTCAACTTCACCAGAACCATCAGATCTGACCGTTGTCTTACCTTTGACCTGGCGCTGCTCTCCTTCTCCAGCTCAGCGTGCAGAACTCCAAGCCTCTGCTCCAGCAGTGAGGAGACCCACAGTCCCAGACTCTCCCTGTCTGTCTGAGTGTGGAGCTGATCCTTTAAGGTGTTATAGAGAACTAGAATGTCAACATGGCGCTGGTCCTGCTTCTCACCCCCATCCTGGACCTGCTTCCACAGCGCAGCTAGCTGACGCTCTATTTTTTCAATGCGTTCCATATCTACAGTGAAGACTGCTCCAGGCGGAGGCATCGGCTGAAAAGGGGAAAAAAATTCAGAACTGCTCTACTATTTACATTTAAATCATAAGTTCAAAGACATCTTCAAGCCCTTCTATCTTACCAGTGGATGTGAGACTGGGGTGGCTGGAGTCTGGTCCAGTGGAGCCTCTGGACTGGGAACAGAGACGGGAACTGGAGCAGAAGCTGGCATTAAGTTAGACAAGAGGGTGAAAGGAGACGCAGGACGCCATGCACTGATGTTAACGGCAGGGAGGTAGGCAAAAAGGGCAGCAGCGGACGGACCCCACCACCATAAAGCTGCAGAAGGACGAGAGAAGGACAAAAGTTTGAATATGGCCTTGTATATCACATATACTCTGGATAAATATGCTGGCATTTACAAAGTTTCTGGAGAAGTAAAATACAGATTGACTGAACCACTGACATGTACAATGCTGAGACACCCAGAACGGCTGACCTGAATCTGGATTTGTGTTTGTTTTGGGGGAGAAGTGTTGCTGTGCGAGTGTGAACTGCTTCACTACAAATAGATGCTCCGCCCCCCCCAGATCTGACCAAATGGTTTACACCTTAGACTAACGGAAGGAGTAAAAGTTCTCATAAACTCACCAAGCAGGAGCAGCAGAGGTAAAAGGAGCAGCAGGAGCTTCCAGAGTTTGGGAAGCACACTAGGGAAAAAATAAAAATAAAAAAACACAGTCAACAACTAGTTGTAATGAAGTGACACTGAACCACAACAATGTGCTCTTCCCCTCCGACAAGTTATTCATTTCTGTTTATAGAAATACTTTAATGTATTTATAACTAACATATTTATTATCAAACATTTCAATAATTTTAATCTCAACTCTGTCTTTATTCTAACAAACACCAAACATTTATAAGGAGAACATTTCACTTTTAATAACAGTATTTGGCCACACGGGGGCGTCAATTTATACACTCCACAGAAACTAAAATACATTTCATTGCTTTTGGCCGCCTGATCCTCAATGTGAGCAGACCACAAAAAAAAAAAACATGGAACCATAGTAAGGAGTTTTTTTTTATCTACGATGAATCAAAAAGCTGAAGAAAATGAATATCTGCTGTAAAATCGTCTCAGGAGGAAAGTGGACAACATTTTCTTACCGTGTCAGAAAAAAGACATTGAGGAGACACACGAAGGACACCAGCTGATACCATCCTGTAGCAAGAAACCACACAAGTCCCCGGGCTGCTTTCTCTACGAAACCACGTAGTAAAAATGAAAACATAAACAACAGCCTTAGAATGTGTACTATGTACATAAAATGTGTAATTTTTAAGCTGAAATGAAAAGCTCTACCCACCTGGAGCTGACAGGAGAACCCAGAACACTGAGAGCAGCTTCTGTGCCACTGTGGCGACCCCTGAACCCACGACTCTAGCTGCTCTAATGACGCAGTGTACTGGTTGGAGGAGACAGTAACCTGGAGACAGGACAAGAGATAAAGGGTTTTAAATTCATGAGATGACTCCACAGGTGGAATACAACTGGAGAATGATGTTATCAAATCTTGTTTCCTTTCGCAGACCTGCACATTTATATATTATCATGAATTAGTCATTAACCTGTGTAAGCTAAGATGCTCCACAGCGCCTCCACTAGGCGCTGACGCCTAGTGGACTTTTTGAGGAGGACAGTGTGTGTCTCTGTATACTGCTTCCCTTTACAGTCATCACCTGTGTATGCAAGAAAACAAAAGTGGAATGCAAGTAAACAAAAAAAAAACCATGAAAACAGACAACATTTAAACAAAGTGACAGAAAACACTGCAAATAATTAAATGTAAGCAAAACGACATGAATAAAAACCATACAGGAAATCATGTGGCCAGAATATAATGAAAAGGAAAAAATAAAAATGGGTTGACAGAATGCTCTGTGTGGTGAAACATCATGTAAATCTTTCGTCTTCAATCCAAGAACCTCCTCCCTAATTTCATGAGTGATGTCATTCTACCTCATACAAGTTTTACAGACAACTTATTCCTGTACATCATGGAGACAACCAGAGTGAGGGACATGAATGTGAGTCTCCTTACACAGGGAACCGTTCAGGTCCAGATTCGATGCATCTTCCGTCACCAGGTCCCGGACGTTCATGCTTCCACAGAAACTGGAGTGGGCTGAAACAAAGAGCGCAGACAACAGTAATTAACAAAACCACGTACACTGTTGTTGTTGTTGTGTGAGGAGAAATATGACTAAAACAGTGTGGGATGAATAAAAGAGAGAAAATGAACATGTGACCCGGTGTGATGTCAGAGGAGTTGTTTTTATGAAAATCATGTGTGAGGAAACAATTGACAAGACAAAGACAGCAACGCAGGACAAAATGACAGCAAAAAACTGTGCACAAGTCTGAAAACTTCTTCGGCTGTGGAATAAAAAAGTGTGAATCAGCATGATAATATACCAGAAAAAAAGGATCGGATGTCAAAATGTGAAACCTGGAAATATAAACCGTGGAAAAAATGTTAAATGTTTTAACTGTGTTAAAAGTGAAGTCAAAATGTTCTTTTACAGAACTGAAGTTTCTCTAAGGATGGAGTTTGTATGTCTGTTTTCACTTTCCCTTTCTGCTCAGACTAACCTTCATCCAGGGTAAAGGAATGAAACAGAAACAAAAGATAGAAGAAATCCAGAGGTCATGCACCCTGAAAATAAGGTCTATAAGACATGAAACATTCTTTAAAAGATCAAAGAAAAGAGGGCGGAGGAGGGACAAAAGGAGTAGAGCAGTTTGGATCCCTGGTCTCCGTCCTTCAAAGTAACAACTGGTACCTTGTCCTTCAAAGCCATTAGCTGTGTAGCGCCTTATCCTGTGGAACGTGGTCTGCTTTAGCAGCCACAGCTGGGAAACACCAGAGGACACAACTTGTCTCATGGAGTCTGACCACGACGTAACAACACCTGGCGACACAACGGTCCAGACTTACTGTTAGTCAAAATGTCTCAAACTTAGCCAAATACACAAACATGGAGAGGTCAGAGGTCAGTGTGAGGTTGCAGGAAGTGGAAGTTCAAGAGTGACAGAGAAATCGCTAAAGCCATGAAAACGCTGCAAAGAGAAAAGACAAAGTTTATACATGGAGAAGAAACCACTCGTGACTGAGACGCCAAGAGGAGGTGGAGGGAGAGGCTGAGATTTGGCAGAAGATACAAATCTATGAAAGGAAGAGAAGACGAGACAACGGCCAAAGGATGAAGAGTGAGATGAATATCTCTTCTTTTATACCTTTTCCTGATCGGCTCCTGGTCCTGGAGCCCAGCCACAGCACACTGCTGAAGATGAAGGAGACTAAAGACACTACAGGGGCCACGGCTCGTTTGCTGTAGCGCAAACAGGTGTTAGACACGGACGTCAGGACACCTGGAAGGAGACACTCCCATCAGTTGTACTGATTATTACAGCTTCAATTAGTGACATGGACGTACGGATCCAAAAATCCCTTGGAAGATTTCTAGTCTGACATTCGGAGCTTCTCACCTGTCTTCTTCCTCCGACTCCGGTCGTGGGAGTATATACAGGTGGCAGGTGAGGCCGGAGAGGAGAAGATGTTGGTGGAAGCTTCTATAGCCTTAGATGATGATGAAGATGATGACGACAAGGACAAGGCAGACCGCGTGATGAGCGAGTCCATCTCCTGAGTGTGTAATGAGCAGTCTTTGCAGATGTAACCGTTGGCGAGCTGGGTGTGAGACTCCAACACTCTGGTCTCACCGTTTACATTTGTTGAGCTGTGGTCAGCGCTGGAGCTTTTCTCTACGGGGGAGTCAAAGAGTGCAATAAACAAACAGCTATACAAACTGATTTAGAGTTTCTATTGCTCATTTATATTTCTTAGTGCTGTTTAAATGGTTATTACAAAAGACAACAGGCAGGAAGCACAAATCACATTATTTCTTACCCCAATGTCCATCCACGAACATAGAAGTCGTGGTGGTTGTTTTGGTGGTGACAGTGCGTCTTCTGCGACTGGACTGGTCCAAGGTGGAGCTGTGAAGGGCGTCACCGGACACAACGCTGCTTTCATGAATGTTGCTGCTGCTTCTGTCAATAGGGGTACTGACAGCTGAGAAGGAGAGGGTTTTCATTGGCGTGGCAGCTTGACCGAGGGACAACGACAGTGTGTTGGAGCTGGAATGCTGCTTCCTGCTCCGTAACGTCCTGGGAGAGACGGAAGAGAAAGTGAAACATCAGTTTGTCTTGTGATCAAACAGCGTCCAGACTCTCTGCTGAGGCTAGGTGAAGTCGTTTTATTTGTTTTCTGGTTTCTCACCGTGTTTCTCTCTTGGTGCTGGTGGTGCTGTGGGAGTAATCAGCCAGGCTCTCGTTGCCATAGTGACTGCCACTGTTCTGCAGACGCAGGCTCCGCCGTGACATCCTGGGCGACTCGTACACGGGAGCTATCTGGTGCTGCTGCTCAAACTCTAGGGCTGCTGTAGAATAGCTGGAGCTGGAAGAGAGAGCGAGGAGCAGACCAGGAGAGAGGTGATGAGTGGAGGAAACAGGAAACAAACAGGAGGACCGACCAGACCAAAATCAATTGATCACATTGTGGGTGGTTTCTGAGGTAATCCACTTGTAATGATGCTGACATGTCCAGCCTCAAATCAGCCTCACTAATGAGTGGTAACATCCTAATACTCATCCATTTTTTTTCATGTTCATGACAATGCAAATATTGTTGCAAATATAACGTGGCAGCATGTCCCATGCCGTCTTCTGCAAAGTCATCTTTTCACAGCTTTTGTTGGCTTTAATCAAACTGCAACAGCCAGAAAGCCGTCGTGCTCTCAGTCCTGGCCTTGGGCCTAAAAGGAAGTGACTCACTCAAAGGAAGGGAGACAAAATACTAACATTTGTGATAACAAAAATAGGAGCTGTGCATTTGAAAGTCAAACAAAAAGATACAGACATATGGGACATCCAAATTATGCAAATCTGGAAATATAATATATCTGGTGGCGCTGCCACCCGGAGTTGACTGTAAAACTACTCGGGGCGCTGCCACCCGGAGTTGACTGTAAAGTGGAAACATGAACAGGCAAACTCCTGGCTTCTCCGTGCTGCTGTGACTCACAGCCACACCCACATGACAGAGTCCGAGGCCAGCATTCAAACACGAGAAACAGGCGACATGGCAGCAACTGTCAACATGACTGAAGCCTTTGGAGAAATTATTCTCAGAGCTTCATTCAGTTGGTGTAAAATGTACCAAAAGGAAAATAAAAGCACAGTGACTGACTCTCACTTTTCTTAGTGGGACTCAAAAGGATTACAACTTGGCAAAATAAACTTATTTTCCCAGGTTGCTTAAAACATGACATTGTAACTTAAACACTGACGACTTGATCTGACGTCATGCTGCAGACTCAGTGCATTCATCAGCATGTCGTTCAACTGGGTCAAGCAGGATAACTGCATGGACATGTGCACGGGGCGCAGCAGAGCTCTTTATCTGTCACTGGAGGACAGAGAATACGCTTCCTGAACAAACTTGGAACACAGGGGCCTTCTTTGTTTAAACAACAGCTGGTCTCAAGGCAGCACAAGCACCGGGACAACAGGGGCTCTCGGTCAAAGTGCGAGCCCGCCACTACAACTGTACATATGTTATAAACATATTATTGTGTGTGTATTTGCTCCAAGGACTCTGGCTCTAAACCCTGTAGATTACACACTCCCGCCAAGAGCCAATTATGTGCTTTGGTCCTCGCTCGGCCTCCTGCTCCGACTGGTTCTTCACTGATCACATGACTACGACAGCATTTTATTCTCTACATCCTGTTGGTCTGATGACAAAAACTGCAAGTTACACTCAGACTCAGCTGCTCTTTTGTTCAGTGGCCACCATAGTAGAGATTTGATTTTTCAGGCCAGCTAATATTCAGTCGATACACTCAGAAAATTCACAGAGTGACATCAGAGGATGCACAGCTGCTGTATGTTCTGAATGAGAAAACAATGCATGAATTGAATAGATTTAATTGAATTTAAACAGCAAAACACCTCGCAGGAGTCATCAGGACTAACATACTGTAGCACATTATACAAAACAAAAAAACAATTTACTTACAGTTTACCAATGTGTCAGACTTGCCAGGATCTCAGGTTACTGATCTGTGACTTAATGAATGTGTTTGTATAAACATTATTTGCCCATGGGGGCAAAGCGTCTACGCTGGGTGAATCAGCAACGTGGGTGTTGCAGCCATGCAGTTTAACGCAAAACCCGTTTGTCTATATTTTATGGACAGAACGTTGCTTTAAGGCAATGGGGGGGGAAAAGTGTCTCTAGTAACATCACAGGGGGAGAGATCACATTTCTAGTTATCTCTGAAGCTAAATTAAAACTAAAGGAATCTGATATTCACCTACTAACACTGTGTCTAAGTCAGCATGTAAAAAAAGTGGAAAGTGGTGTGTTTAGAGACTATGGACAAATCATTAGACATGTTTTTATGAGACATAAGAAGTAGAGTGGTTGGTGATGACCTTTAAAGGTCACTGGTCTGTGTCCAAGTCGGCACCCATGTGTTATTGTGTTATTTCTATTATAAAATCACACTAGCATGTTGTAGGAGTGAGCTGCACTGACTTATAAACTTTAATGATGGGACATTAATCTAATCATGATGTTCATCCCTGAAGACTATGATTAGTGCATCTTTGATTGACTTTAGCTGGACTTTCAACCCACTGCAGGATAAAACAGGTCCAAATGAACAGTTTTACAATTTCTAAATTTAATTTTAAGTTTAATGAAGTGAGTGCATGAGAACACTGACCATAGGTGAAATACTTTCACATTCTTGTTTGACATTGATAACATGTAAATGTAGCGCAGGTCCTTCAGGTAATGACGCAGCCCAGAAAAATGGAGAAGAATAGAAGTGACATTAAAGCTGTGATGCTGTGTGAAACATAGGAAGAATCAGCAGTGTGTTGTCAATGAGCGTAGTAATAAACGTGTAGTATGAACTGTTACTTTACTGTACAATACTGCAGTTTGTCAAGACCAGGGATGGCTGTGTTTCTTCTCTTATCAAAATAACTGACTGAATGAATAACTATAAACTCTCTCTCTCTCTTTCTTTCACTCACTCACTCACTCACTCACTCTACCCCACATATAAACACACAGACACACACACACCCCCTTTAGGTACAGATTACAGAAACCACATGGGTTGTAAATCTTGGCTTCCAAACCACAAGTGGGGTGAACCTCAGCAACGTCAAATACTAGTCTCACATGCACTCTTAGGGTGTGGGGGAGTGATCAATGCTGTAACGAATAGAAAAGAAATTTTGTAAAAAGAAAAAAAAAAACTATTTATAACATCCAAAGCTGAAAAAGAAAAACTTTTCAGAATTTAAAATCACATGGGTTTTTTATTTAATTTTTACTTAAGGTGAATCTGAAACAAATGTGTTTAGTCGGCTACACAATCCAATCACAGCGTCATTAATATGGTTTTCTTCTGCATCTCGGGAAAAGCACGGGCTGTAACAACTAAGTGTGTGCAAAACTAAAAATCAATTAACCTGTAACTACATTTTTTAGATAAAAAAACCCAATAAAGTTAATAACAGCTTTAGAAGCCACCATCAGTGACATTATTCTACACTATTTTCCTTGAAGATAAAATCTGGGAAACTGTGAGTAAAACTATCTGTTTAGAGCAAAAACACAAACTGCTTTCCTGTTTCTTAAGATAACTGCCGAGTGCAGAGGCGTCTTTCCCATGAGGCACCGAGGCCTATATTTACATGAAACCATAAAACTGAAGAATCCGGGACCAAGAGGAGAGTCTTTGGATTTACACTCAGCATCCTTTATACTTTAGGTAGAACAGGCTTCGAGGAGGAAAAACTCTGAGGAACTTTGTCACAGCTAACATGTGTCAAATTATAACGATTGACTTTTAACACCAGAGATACTGCATCTTGTGTTTACGTCAACACTGCGTGATCAGGGTGGTCACACTACAACCGTTTACTACTAGAAATTTGTTCATTGAAATACCACTTGGCAATAATTTTCTTTCACCAATGCTAAGGTTGAGTAACAAAGTTGTCAAGACTCTAAACCACACAACGAGTAATCATTTAACATTACCACATGAGCGGCCATTACTTTTTTAGTGCCTGACCAGCAGTGGTCTTAACTGCAACACACTTTGAACAGATGTCATCAACAAGTGTGGTCGGTCGGGCGATCAGCACGAACAACTGTCTGGCAGGCAGGTGCTGCATCACAGTGTGTCGTGTCCTTAATGACACGATGATTTTCAAATGGAGCTGCTCGATTATTTTGATCAATAGTAAAATCATTATCACTCATCAATTCTAGAAAGACTGCATTAATGTCTATCTATATATCTATAATATTTTACCATGTAAATAATATCAGCAATGTAGGGCCCTTCCTGAAAATCATGAAAAAAATATACAAGGGATATAAATAAAATGTATAAATATACGTTACAAAAATACCAAGAGGAAAAAAAAAATAGGACCAAAGCCAAAAATATCTTTGCTCAAATTTACCGTAACAGAACAGTGATCAATTAGGAAAGCACAGTGCAGAGGCCTCAGCCCCAGTGACCCACTTTCAGCAACATAAAATATGAACTATCCTAGTGGTCCGGGTTTGCTGGTTAGTGGTTAGAGTTAATAAATAAAACACATCACTAACCTCCTCCTGCTTTTTGCCTGAAACCATTTAACACAACAAAACATGTCGCTGCTCTTTTGAGCTTTGACAACAGATGGGCCAACGGACTCTGTCACCTGACTCCCTCTGCCTTTACACTGCTATGTTGGATTTAGTGCTGATCACAGACACAGTCAGTATACATAGGACTATTAACAATGTAACACAAAGGCTTTTAGACTTTGAGGAGTTTTTGAACTGATCAAAAAAGAGAGAGAAAACAATCAACAAAACACAGGGAGTGTTTCTTTCATCAGTAAAATCTCTCGTGCACCTTCATTAGCAATAATTACAACAATAACTACAGACGAATTAAAGCCACAGATCTCTGAACTAGCTAGTCAATAACATAAACTATTAGTCTAATCCTGGGATCAAGGCCAAGGCCTCTGACAATGGAGTTCATGAATGCCTTTGGGGCCAACTGCACTCAAGGGAATACAACAAGTTTCTGTCAGCTTCAGCCCAACGCAGGTGCTCTAAATGCTTTCAGTAGTTAGTAGTACTGTAGTAGTTGTACATGTTACCATAGTAATTATCGTATAGTAATTAACATAGACTTGGTTAAAAAATACATTCATGACTGAATTGTTTGTCATCATTGTTTGTGCCACTTCTGTGAGCAGAGCTTAACTCTGTGTGTCAGTACAACAATGGAGGAAAAAACAAAAACATTGTCAATATAAAAAGGATAATTTAAACATTCAAACCCATTCACATAATAGAGGAAAGGTTTTTTTTACCACTGCTTCTGTAGAACAAATACACAATGTGCCATAAATTAGAATTTAGTCTGGACACTAAAACTGGCTTTAAATAGTCATTTGCTACATAACGATTGGCTGCTCTTACAGGAACAACATAATAAAATTGTTGCTGTAAAAAGTTCCACCCTTTGACTTATTTCAATGTCTCTACTTAAACAACACCTAAAAGGCAAATTCCAACTTAGCATCACTTACATTCCAACCAACTATAAAAATATAAAGCTGCTCATACATAAAAAAGAGAAAACAAGTAAAACTGTTTCAGCCTGCTCCAGACTGAAGCCTGAACTTGTTCTGCTGGATGAGGAAAACCACAAAGCATTGTCAGCCTGCAAACTGCATTTTTAGAGTGTATTACATTTTTGCAAAATGAGGCCTAAAGCCAAAAAGAAGGCTTTAGTTCAAACACGACAGTGTCTGCTTTGCAGATGGAAGACTGATCATAAAAGTCTTCCTTTGCTTCAGGTCAGAAAGTGAAACAAGGACATGGTGATATTTCATTTCTTGACCTACAGGAGCTAAATACCTCTCTCTGTACTTCTGGCTGCTGCCAGCACTGGAGACCAGATTCCTTCACATGCACAGACTTTTACCTGGTCAACCACACCTATGGTAAAATTTAAGAAAATAATAAGTAAAACAAATAATGCAAAGTAGAATGTTGGAAGGGATTATTGCTGCAGGGATAACCCTACTCAAAACAAAAATATTTCAAAATTCTGCAGAAATGTTGGGGTTACTGTATTGTACAATACAGTAGATATATGAATTAACAAAGTAGAGTGCATGCTTAGAGATCACCAAGTGCAGGCCTCCTTAATTCCCTCTTAGTGTGCAACAACTAAATCATGATGCTGACTCATCAAAACCATAACCACACATAAAAAAATAGTATTTTTAAAACCAAGTTGTTTTTTGTTTGTTTGTTTAAAAAGGTAACAAAAGAATGAAAATTACACATCTTGCCTTATCAACAAATATATCCTGGGAAAGTAACAGAAATGATTCAGCAAAAAGAAAAGAGGAAAACATGTTGTCCCTAAAAGACCACAGTTGCGCCACTGCTTAACATCTATCTCTAAATAACGAAACCAAAGTGTGTTAAAAGCAGCAGCAGGAAATAATGGACAACTATGATTTTCCAGGAGCTTTGTGTAACACCAGGGTGCGAGTTAAATACCATTCACCTGACGTACAAACCCCGCAGCCAATGAATGGCAGCACAGCACTGCAGTCTCACCTGAGAGAGTAGGTATAGCCGGTGTTCTCTGGAGCACACTGCGGCGGCGTGTATGTGTGCAGTTGTGAAAAATCCATTGTCATTCTTCTTTGATTAGACTGCAAAAGCCAAGACGAAAGGAACAGGACTCTTTAAGCCGAAGCCAACATGTGAGAGTGGGATAAGAAACACAAACACAAACACAAACGTTCGTACACACACTGCCAGGTTTAGCCTCGTCTCCTGAAACTAAAGTCGTTCTGCTAATGAGCTCAAACCCCGCCACTGTATTACAAAAAGACAGAGTAAACTGTTTCTAAATATTGCTTCTAATGCAGCACTGATAAATTCCCTGCTTCCTCCATAATCAATCCAAGCCAGATTCACTGGGCTACTCTCCAGGAAGCACAACAACCAGTTATTGCTACGCAGTTGAGTCATGTCAAAAAGCCCAGCCCCTCCTGGGAGCTGCTGGACATTCCTTTTGCCCTGGAACACAACAATGCTACTATGGACAAGAGCTATCCAACCTCTTCCTGCATGTTGGCTCTGTGTGGTTGCTGACGGAGGCCACATACGCCAGTAAAAGCTGTAATGAATGACTCGTCTCTTCTCTCGCTGTCGACAGAGAAGCCAGCAACTGACGGAAAAGGCTGGTGGAGACAGGACAGTAACAGCCACGACCCTTCCTCTCCTTTGTAACAGACTCCAGCAGGGCAGCTACAACTCCTCCAGTGACTGCTGAACAGGCTCCACACACAGAGGAGGCTGCGTTATGAAACCAAGTGCAACAGTGAGGGGTTGGGCTGATTTAGGCAATGGGCGGGAAAACAAATGGCCTGAGGATTGCTCCACTGACAGTAAAATCTGAATTGTGTGAAACAGCTGTGCAAAATGCAAGTTACCATAAAGGCAAATAGAAGCCGGTGCACTCATGGTTCACCCCAAATATTTACAATTATAATTAGATTTCAAAGAGACATGAGTAATTTTCTGTCAATTATAAAAGTTATACTAAAAAGCGACACTAGTGAAACTCACTGGATTTCAACATCTTTTAAAAACACTGTATGTTACATAAGTAAGTACAGCTAAATTCATCACCAGTGTTCACAAAAAGTAAACGTTCATATGATGCAGTTTGATGCCTTCTGTATAGACGACTCCAACAGCCACCTGCTGCTGCTTTTTTATGACATACTGTATGTTAAGATCAATCTAGCCTAAAGTTCAACAATCATACCCTACTATAAATTAATCTTTTGTATACTGCTAGTCCTGTTTCAAATACATAAGTACACAACCAATCATGTACTGCAGAAGGATAGCAATATACTGTACATATCCAAAAGCTGTGGATATTTTTTTTTCCCTTCAGCAAAGGGATTTATGACTAGCAATAAATCAAAATAAGAGTGTTTCCAATATGGAGCAACATTTAACATTAACATTTCTGGCTGTGACTTTTGAGCTCATTTTTGAGGAGACAGGATAAACGATGGCAGTGCTTTACATTAGCAATATGTCCAAACACATACAGTAGACACGCAAGCGTCCCTTTGGATGATCGGACCAGACCAGACCAGACCAGGAAGAGGAACATTTTGAAATACTTTCTTGATGTAATCTTTTCAGGCCTGCAATCTGAACTATAGATTAATTTACGTTATGTGTGACATGCGTGGTCATAATGTCTAGTTTGGAATCTTTATAATACAACATCTCTGTTTCCAAGTTTATGTTTTTTTCCATCAGCAAATTGGTATAGAAAGTATAACAGTATGAATCTGTGGCATAAGATTCTGGACATAGATGTTCAGGCACTGGGTTATCCCAGAGATCAATTCTCTACTCAAGTTTAATGAATGGAGGCAACACTAAAAATGTAACCCCTTCATTTACTTTTGGTTGTCCCTCACGTGTTTTAAATGTAAGGTGGTCTGGTCTGATGTGGGGAACCCTCGGACCTAGAGTATCTCGGAGCGCCTCTGCTTACACAGTCAACATTCTCACCTCACATGTGTTTTGCCGACTCCTTAATGCAAGACCACCAGCGAGTCTGGAGGACTGCAGTCTACTGTGCTAATAAATAGCACATTTCTAAATACTTTAAAATACAATTTAATAACGGCTGCAGACTGTCACATAAGCCGTTACATTCTCACGTTGCCCAGTGCTAAATTTAGACGCCATGTAATCGGTCAACGCCGTCATAAGCGAAAACAGTGATCTGCAACAACGACGCACTGTCTGTTGGTTTTATCCAAACAGACGTCCTTAATAACTGCAAATAATTACAGCGCATTTACAGAACCGTGTCGTTGACAGCGTCGTTAAACGTCGGTTAATCTCGTAATTCCGTGTATGTTAGTAAATATATAAGGCCTGAGGCTGCGCTCGCTGTCACTGAGCCACTGTGCGTAAAGGAGCCCAGTGAGGACAGAATAAAAACCCCTATAAATGACACATTACCAACACATTACTGCAGCAACGTGAACACACTGAGTCACAGTCATAAAAACATGTCAACTTGCCCTCGTGGTTTGCGTCCATGAATGTTGTTATTATTTAGGAGCGTAATCCAAAGGTACAAGGTCCACTGACAGGGAAGATGCGCCAAGTTCCGCCAGCATCCCGACGCACGGAAACCGACAGATATTATACTACTAAGCACACACAAATACCTCCACTCTTACTTATTCGCTTACAAATACCAGTTAGAAAAGTTCCCAATGCAAGCGACTATTATGCTCGTGCACAACTAACAGAATTCCAAAATGGCTTCCCTGGTTCAACAAAGCCAGGAGCTGATCCTCCCACTCTCAGGCCTTCCATTGTCGGTCAGAGCGCACACTTTAAATCCATTGGACGAACGCAGCGCTGCCATAACTACAGGCACCACAGTCTGTGACCGGTCTACAGCTGCTGCACTCAGAGTCACTATTGTCTAAAGTTGACACCCATTCCCTGGAGGATTAAACTGACCCTGAAGGAATTATATGCAAGAAAAGCCTACAACAACAATTGACGCCAATGTCTATTATTAATATATTATTACATAGCATTATAATAATATGTAGTATTAATATTTAGAGATGAAGTATGTATGCATTTTCTATCTCTGGTCCCATTTCAGTGTTTATAAGATACTCTTACAAACTGCAGGTTTGTAGTCAAAAGAAAATACAACCAGCTCATTGGTTATTACTATATTGTACATTTGAAAGAGATTCCCATTCACATTAATTTTCTGCAAAGACCACCAATGAAATATGTATTTACATAAATAGAATATAGACCTATATCACAACTTTTCCCAACATTAGATCTACAGGGTCATCACAGAAGAGTTAATTTAAATATTTCATATAGCACGTTGAAGATGCAACACATTGCAACACGTTCAAAAACCTTAAAACCACTCAAAGCAATGGACAGTCCACAAAAAGAGTGAAAAGAATAGGGTGCGGCTGTGGTTAAATGGGCGGTGAAGAGTGTCAGTGTGATGGTGTGTGACAGATGAGTAGTAGCAAGTCCAAAAGGGAAGTAGTGAGACATACTGCAGTGTATCGCTTTAGACAGTGGTACTATATATAGAGAGAAAGCTCGACGAGTGGACAGGGTTAAAGATACTGAAATTTAATTGGGTGAGATAACATGATGGACAGGTCTAATATTAGTTTATCTTACTGTACAGTATGCTCACCAGCATGTGGGATTAATTTAGCAGGTCACTACTACGACGTATCAGAGGATTATAGTTCTGTTCCGCTACCACGAAAACAATGTACTCATATATTTAAGTTAAAAAAAATGTAGACATAGGACTAGAAAATAAAAACACAGGAACAAAAAGAGACTTGTGTTTGACCTGTCTGATAAAATATCATCCAACAAACTGCCTCATGGAATCCTAAAAATGTCTTCGTCATAAAAATGCTAGATTAAAATAAAATCCTGATGCCAGATGTGGTGTGGGTTCAAAACATGTTAATTCAGCACATATTCTGGAGCATCAGGTTTCATATCAATCAGAGAGAGAAAAACACATTGTAAACATGTTCTACAAGTACAGGAAGAATCAGATGGTAGAGTTTTGCAGATGAAAATAACATAACTAAATAAAGTATAGAAAATGATAATAATGATAAATCATCTCATGAAAGTCATACTGATACAGAATGCCCTGCAGATGCTTTGATAAAATCCAAAAGGAAATAACTGAAGACCAGGCAAAGATGAGCACACCTGAAAAATATGCAGAGATTTACTTAATACAAATAATCTGCAATGCTTTCTGTTGAAAACACCCCAGATGTCAAAAGAACTCAAAATAGTGCTTTGGAAACTCTATTTAATGGGTCAAAATAACCCCATTAAAATGAATCCTGCTGGTGTGAATTTAGATTGCGTTTTGTGTGTTCTGTCTGCTGTACTCTGTGGGGGTAAAGGAGCTGCTTATAACATTCTGTCTGTCTTTTTTTCATTTACTGGCACAATTTAAAAATGTTTAAATTGATTGGTGGAGAGAAACGAGCGCGTCGCACCAAAGCGGAAGAGAGCAGCGGTGAAGCCTCTTGGTTTTCAACGTCTGAAACTTAAATAATGCGAGACTTTCATTTAGTAGCATGCAAAGTAATGTGTGTGAATTTGAAATGATTTACAAAACAATTCCAAATCATCCTCAGTTAACAAGTTCGATTTTTGTTGTTGTTTTTGTTTTAGCAGGGGCATAGTTGATTGCTAGAGCAAATGAAAGGGTCAGCTGTCAGTGTTACATTTCAAGTATTCCCCGTGTCCAGAAGATATCGGACATTGCAAAGAAGAAATAAAGCGGCATGTGGTAAAAGTTAACAGCACACGTGGATCTATATACAGTTATTAAGCGCAGGACTTTGAACTACTCACGTGGTTCAAATGAAGTAACCCGTTGGTTTCTTGACAAGTCGTTTTAGCTGTAGGAAGACAGGCATTCGGTCCGTTTACTTCTGCTTCCATGAAAAGCGGACCTTGATCCAGAATTCGCCTTTCCCGCACCCAGTCATATTTTCCGTTGTGAACCAATGTCATATCCGTCTTTGTCTTTATAAGGAGCTAAAGACCATATATGGCGTTTGCCGCAACGGTTGCCAAAGCAAATTTCCAAATGGAAACAGCGTCCATCCGTGGACACTACTGAAAACACAGGTTATCGAAGTCAACCTCTGTTTTGACGCCTACATGTTAACTAACGAGCTAAAGTTATTGCTGTTATTATACAGTATATTTAAGGATTTAAAGTACTCAATGCAACAACTATTATCCTTTGTTGGTCAATGGCTTATCCCTTTCTACATTAATTGATTACTCTATCTTGCTTGGTATACATTAAAACAATGTTCAGTTTCTTAAAACCTTTGAAATTTGGTTTAACTGATTTTTTATTGCACTAAACACAATTTATTTGTTTTCTAACAAAAACGAAATATTTTAGAACATTGTCAGTGTGACTTGTTGGAGATGCCAGACTTTTTACAGTTATTTTCTGCATTTAACGAACAAAAGAGTGATTAAATCATTGAGAAAAATGTTTTTAAACTTTTTGAGTCAAGCACACAAACAATATATCTGCAATGACCTACTTTAGTTATTTGTGCAAAATCAATTAAGGAACTAAAGGTGTTTTTAATTGACAATAGTCAATAGTCTGTTGTCTACATCACAACTATTTGGTGTGCATCTTTACTCCTTTGTATTGTTCTTATTGTTCTTATTATTCTAAACACAAATTAAATTTTTTATTTTAATTAAAAAATTATGTAAGCTTTTAACTAGATTTAATACCTTTATATTTCAGAATTAGGCACCTATTGTGGTGTTAACCTTGAACAAAGGTGGAGTCAAAAACAGGGTTGATTGACAGTTTATACTATGTACTTTAAATAACAATGAAAAAAAGGGGAGGAGTCCATCCCAGTGGACATTATGATTGATAAATTTCTTTATACTCAACAAATTAAATCAGCTCTGTTATTGAAGGCATTTTATATGCTTTATAAATTTGGAAAGAGCAACCATTTTCTGTTAGTCGCATAGAACAATATGTGAACAGCAGAAAAATGTGTAAATTGAGTATTGCAGTATTTGACACATGTCCTCAAAGGCTAGTAATTACTCAATCAGACTTAGGGCAGTATTTTTAGACAGTGGGAGAAAACCTGAATAACTGGACCAATGCCATTTGTGGAATAGTGGTGATGTGATCCCATTGTCTCTGAGGTCACTTGTTCACGTTATGTGAAACGGGATCCCTGTACACACTCACATGTAATGTTTTTACCTGGGAGAGAGACATTCGTTCACGTTACCACTCTCTGGCAAGCACTTCCTGATTATGGAGCTTTTATTTCTTTTATTAAGTGCAAGTTTATTCCTGTCTGTGCGGCCAACAGCGATAGATCGCAGTAAGTAGCAGAAGTGTTACATTGTAGCCCAATATGCTAATTCAGTCCTGACAGTACAGTACTGATCCTTGGCTGCTGCTGTAGTTTCTGCTAAACCGAAACTCTAACTAGTGTTTTTGTTTTCTTTTCAATCAGATACTTATTGTGAGAGTTGTCTTGCAGTTGCACGAGGTAGGGTGGAGCTTATCAATGTGCTCAAAAATCTATATTTTCTAGATGATAAATACTCAGAAAACTACACTTAGATCAGATTGTATGTTGCATTCTTATAAACTACACTTATTTATCCAGTCTTTAGGATATGAGAAGTTACAAGAAGAAAATAAAAAACATCCTGTCTTTCAGAGATTGCGACAGCCATAAAGGAGGCTCCACCTGAGAAGAGCCAGACAGTAGTTGACAAACTCCTCAGTGGTGGCCTATGTACAAAAGTAACTTCCTCCAAAAATGACCATAAAACTAATAACAAACTGAAGTCCTCGTGTATCCACTTGCTGGGTAAGGTCAAAAGGGAGTGAAACCTGATTTACTTAGTAATTTACTTTAAATAATACATTCTTCTTCAAATCTCACAGATTCTGAGGTTGATCATTTCCGTGCAGTTTTAGTGAATGGAGAAACAAGCAATCTAGATGTAGCGCTGTGTTATGAACAATCAACAGCATGTGTGGGAGTTAAACGCCAGTCTTTCGGGGTAAGCTTTATGAATTACAGGATTAAAAATTTAAAACAAAGTTAGAAAACATTTGTTTTTCAGACTTGATGTTTGTTAATGCAAGTATTGATTTTGCAAGGTTTGTTTTTCTGAGAAGCACATACTCCATAAGGACCATAAGTTTCCACTTTTTTCACAGGGAACATATAAACATGGATTACTTTTAATATTTAACTGACATAAAGAGACTAACATTGTTTATTTTTTATAGGATTCCAAAGACACTTTGAATGAAAGTGACATTGAGGCCTTAATTCAGAAGAACAAAGACAATCTACGCATTACTCAGCCTGTACAGTCTGATACAATAAGCCACTCATGTGATGAATTGTGAAATGTCATTCTGTAAAGCTGTGGTATACAACTTCAATTTTACTGGGATTAAACATGACTACACTTTATAATAAAAAATATAAATAACAAATATAGTTTTCACACTTTTTTCATGGAAAAAACTAATAACAATCTGGTTTGATTTTGTTTTTGGAATCATCTGAGGTTAGTGGAGGTTATAAAAATGACCACTTGATCTATCAAGTAAAAAGTATTAATAAAATCATAATCATAAGACAGTTATTATACTTAGGGATAGGGAGTTCGATAAGAATGTAACTGACTGCAGAGGCCAGTGGAGTAGGTTCCGTGAATCTCTGATTAAAATGTGGCTCATGGTGCATGTATTCAGTCCCGCGGCATGGGGGCGCTGCTGGGACCGGGAGGAAAAGCGACGGTTTGAAAACGAAGATGATGATGTTGAATGGCAGACCCGGGATTTAGAGGAAGCAGCAGGGCAGGGGCTTCACGTCTTAGCTGCCGCTTTATTTTCTCTTACTATTGACAGTCGTGGATGTAAAACGTCTGGAACAAAGGACAGAAGAACTGTTTTAATGCGTGTTTCTCTGCGGTAAAGGTAAGAAAATGTCACGGCGCGTTTATCAGCGGCGTCCCCGCCAAACACCTGGCTGTAACGTCTTTGTGGCTGATAAAGAAGACGTTTACATTAGCTGTCACTGTGAAAACTGTCCTTACATTAGGGTTTTCTTACACTTCTGTAAAATTCTACACGAATTAAACATAGACTGAGCTGTTACGCTATTTATTCAACGGACGCTATTGTAACAGAAAGCAGCTGCAAAGCACGTTACAAACCGAGATAATGAAAAAAGCTGCACATGCCACAAACAATAACTGTTTACGTCATGGGCTATGAGTTTCATTAAAAACAATTTTTATTAAACATTTTATAATTGTATTAGTACACCATCCGTAGATGTCTATGTTAACTCCGAGACCAGTATTACACCGTCTCTGTCGAGGGTCTTCATCGCTATATTTTTTTCTGATGGACCTTTCTAGAACAGCAACAATATTGATCTGGATTGTGTTTCGTCCACACACGGAAATAGAAGTCAGGAACAACAGACTGTGTTCATAGAGAGGAATGGCTGGAATTTGATGAGTGTGATAAAACAGTGCAGGAGGACAGAGCCGCTTTGTTTCTGCTCTAATTATTGTAGAAAGATGGCGACCCACACCCAGATATCTGCTATAATAATAATAAACGAAGCCAGGTGGTTTGTGCCCATGGGCAATTAGGACTTTACGTTGATCGGCCGCATGTACTGTATGTCAAGGGCAATGATTAACCATATGTGACCCATTTTCAGCCAGAGTAAACCATGGAGCCTACATAGGCACGATGGTCTGGGACCCACTGGAGTGGGAACCAACCACACATTTTGTGAGGAGTATCTTCATTTACTTTTCAGGCTTGTTTCAATGGCAACCATTTACTGACTGAAACACATTTATTTTTGATGATGATGACTTTTTAATCAATAATTTATCAGGTGTTTGATTACCAAATTTTAGTAGCAGCTCTGCTGATCAAATTAAGTTGTCAGTTGGTCAAGTGATTTTTGAGTGGGATTTTTGATTCAATCAGCTTCAGTCTGGGACAATAACAACATTTCTCAGTCAATCTAATCTACATGTGTAAACTAATTAAACTACTGTTGAGGTCAGTAGGTCTGAGGCTCTCTCAGCTGCTGCTGAGTTGTCAGACTTTAAGAGGACACTCAACCTTACCCCCTCTCCCTAATTTATCTCTGCTGGATTGTTTTTCCCCTTATGAGAAAGGATAAATGCTTATTAAACAACAGACTGGTTGATATGCCCTTCAGCAGCAGCCTTTTTTGTGTCTTCTGTTTTTCCAACGTCATGTAGCAGTCACATGTTGATCTGCTGGTGAAAGAGGAAGCTGCATGACGTTATGTATTAAGCACAGGAGGCACTGATGGTACAGTTTGTATCAACTAATTCTTTTGTGGAGAAACAGAAAATCATAATTTGCATCAGTTTGACTCAGCTGAGCTACCATCCACTCCTTATCTGAGCCTCAGATTTTGTAGTCGATAATTCTGTTGTTTACCTTCCAAGATTTATGGGGTTAATATAGATCGACTTATTTGGGTTACTTTTATACCATGTCTTGTCTCAGGCTGAGCAGTTTTTAATGACTCAAACATTTTTCAGACATCTCTCCCATGACTCAGACTCAGAGGTTTACTGCAGGTTTAAATTACATGCAGACCTTAGTATGCTGATTCCATTCTTTGCAGAGCTTTCGTCTAACCTCACATTCTCTTTTTGATTTGACAGCTCAAGGCTACATGGTGTGTGTCTCTTCTCCGAGGTGTGGATGTGTGGGAGTCCAGAGATGGAGAGCTATGAGGAGTTCTGCCTGCGGAGTCTGACCATTCTGCAGGAGCAGAGGAAATTTAAGAAGATGACATGTGAACCACCATGTTCTCTGAAAGCTTGCTCTGTCATTCGATTTTATGGGAGAGCTGTGCTTTCACCACTGGTAGGAACAGATATAACAACAGATAATCCTGAGAACTAAATTTAATTTTACTGCTGAAGTTTCATCTTCTTATATTTATTCAAAGTTATATTTAATTGCTCCTTATTGGCTATGGTTTCAACAAGGTATGCAGTTAGCTTGATGTGTGTCCCAACATTTGTCTTGCAAAAATGTTTCTCCGTTTACTGTAACTGTGTTTGATTGGTTACCATAGTGGGTACAGTATGTGTCACCATGGGCCTGTGGTGACATACTGTGTTTCTGTGTTTTTGTTTCTATGTGCTACATAGAAACAGAGGAAAACATTTCCAGGTAGAAAAACAATTAGGAGAATGCTGCTATATACAAGTCAACATAAATGTGCAAAATTATTTCTACTCACACAGTTGCAGTCGAAGTTCTCAAAATATTTTCTTTTTGAAAAGCAGAACTGAGCATTCCTCCATCGATCAGTAGAGAACCTAGGAAATTGACATAATAAGGAAATTTAACAAATATAACTGTTTTCTTTTCTTGGTTTGTGTACAAATCACAGCTTAAGCATGGCGTTCTAGTATAAAATGCTAGAGTTGAGTCAATTATTTTACCTTTATTGTCACCATCTAGGTCTAAATAACTTTTAAAGTGATGATGTGTGAGATTACTATTAAAAAAAGAACAGAGTAACTGATGCCAAATAGTTGAAAGGTTCAAGTTTCTGTTTATAAAACAAAACAAGCTGTGGAGGAAGCATGGAGCATTAAGTCAAAGCAGCAAAGGTTAATATGTAAATTGGTCCAATCAGCTGCTGACCTTCACCTGATTAGTTATGTCTACATAGGAAACGTCAGTGAATAACTTATCTCTTTGAATTTAGTAGCCAAGTAAGCATACCTGATTATTAAAGAAAAATATATTAGGAAAACCTGATACGTTTGAGGACATTCTTATCAGTTAAAGTTTAATAATTATTTTTACTTACCTTTTTTGTCTATAATTGAGTTTGTCGTGTCTTTTGTAGCTCAGTGAAGAGCGGCGCACTGAGATGTGTGACCACAGAGAAAGAGCAGTCCAGCGGGAAGTGGATCGACAGAACCAACAGAGGAACAAGCTTTTAGCTCAAGTCCAGGACATCCTGGACCAATCTGAGGTCAGTGGAAAATATATAGAGAAATATACAAAAATGTAGTTGAAAAAAATCTAGTTTTCACTAGACAAGTTGAAACTTCTGCAGTTTGATTTTTACAAACCATGGGCTTAAGCTTCTCACATGAAATAAGACAGTGTGTAAGACCCACAGTATTCAGTCACACACAACTTTAATTACAGTCTTTCTGTCCCAGAATCTTCAGTCATAGACTTAAATACAGGTCGTGTGATGATGATGATGATGGTGGTCCTTTTTTGTGCTCCAATTTTGCTCCAAAAATGACATTTGTCTCTGACAGCAAACACTTTCCTTTTTTATTTCTACACCAGTTTGCTCAGATTTAGTTATTGGTTAATGCTGTGTTTTTAACTTCTGCTTTGTGATTCATTATTCCCTATTTTCTTGGTACAGACAAACACATTTCAGATTGGACAAGTCCAGAAGCAGCAAACCTGTAAATCTCCAGTAAACAGCTACACTTTGGTGACTGACTTGCCTGGACCTCCGTTTAACCCCGGTTTTGAGCTTCAGAAAAATGATTTGCCCCCTACCACACATTCTGTGACCCCCACACTCAATAGTTTCAGCACACTAGAGAAAGTTAAGATGAGGAAAGAAGAGAAAAGTGAAGATGAAGAAGAAGAAGAAGAGGAGGAGGAGGAGGAGGACGACGACGTAATCAGTCTGGATAGTCTTCTTAAAAAATCCAGACCATATTTGAAGAAAGAGCAGAGTCAGCAGGGGTCAAAGGTCAACCAAACGGCCAACACTGAGTCTATCTGTGACAGTGAGAATAAAAGATTAAGTCCTGTTGGAAATTCAGGCGTTGAGTTTGGATTCAGTCTACATCATAGTCCTGCTGGCACACCTCAGACTGAGACCCCACAGCAAACTTTGTTTGAACCCAGCATCCAACACACAGACAGTCTTGTACCATGTCTTCCAGACCGATATGCTCGTCTACCTAGTCCAGAGTTTAGCATTAGTCCGTGCGTAAGAAGACGCAAACCACGACCAGTTTCTACAGGCAACATCCATATTTCATTTCCCATCACCCCTGAAGACCTCATCCCACGAAGCCCAGGTAGATCGGGAGAAGGAGCTTGCATGGCAGACTGGGGAGAAACCAAAATGTTTTCAGAGTACTGGGACACATGGGAAAGTGAAAGTGGGTGTGGTTTCAGCAGTGGTTTAGCCAATCATCGAAGCAGTAATAACGTTACAAGTTCTCCTCGTGAGGGCTGTAGCCCAGTCAGTACCACAGTGCCCAGCCCCATGGTGCACCACAACCATCCTGCTGCTGGTTTCCGCCGGCGCTGCCACACTATGGACAGTCAGTTACATAACATCTACCCTGAAGATGAGCATATAGACCGCAGCCAGGAGAGACTCCCACGTTTCATGGCAGGAGTCACTTTGTTGGGAACAAATCGCCGTTCCTCTGCAGTCCCCTTAAACCAGTCATATGTGATAGAAAATCCTTCACCGTCTCTAATGAGGCCCCACATAACTACAGATACAGCTCATGTTCCAGTCAAGATGGCGTCTGAAGATGTTCAAGGGGCAGACAATGGAAGGATGGCTTCAAAAGTGCTCACAAATGCAACTGAAACACAAGCAGGCAATTTGGGTGAATGAGTATCAAACTGTTTTCACTAGTTTTTATTTTTTCACTAAATTAGATCGATGTCCTTCCATCTGAACCTTTGGTGTGAAATGTACTTATTTCTGTCTGTCTGTTTGTTTGTGCTCATCAGTAGAGCAGCCCCAGAGGCGAGCACATGCTCTAGAGGACATGCAAAGACGACTGGAGGAGGAGCATGCTATGCAGATGTCGCTGCTTTTGGCAGAGCAGGAGAAAGAGCAACAGTGCCTCCGTCTGGTCAGTTTACAGAATCTCACACACGTACAGCACACTGTAGTGCTACCTGAAAGACTTAGGAATATTCTAACCATGATGTTTTTTAGGAATTGGAGGAAACAGGGAGGAAACTGAAGGAGCAGGCATGTGTGCGACCTCTAAGTGCAGACAGTTATGGGTGGAGTCTGAAGACAGGAAGTGACAGCTGTCCTTCCATCAGCCCCTGTTTCCCAGGTTTAAGTCCTACCCGCACACCCTCAGAGCAGTCGTCTGGACACAGCTTAGGTACTATTTTTATATATATTTTATTTATACAAAAATGTTCAACAAAGCAAGGCCTGACCACATGCAAATATTCCAACATACTCTAACTTGAAAATAAGTTGAAATATCAATAAAATGTTATTAGGACAGAGGTGTTAGGTTAAATTAATAGAATGTAGTTGTCTTTACTTTAATGTAATTTATGTAATAATAATATAATAATTATTATCAAGCTAATTTTTCTCTCTAGGGTTTCCAAGCCCCATCAGTCCTGGTGCGTGTCCTTCTGTCCAGCCTCCAGTTTATATCTGGGGCTCGGCCCGAGCAGGTGGTAAACCTCGAGGAAGGCTAAGTTTGGTAGGTATGCCATCACTAAATGTCACCACTGTCATGCTTTTCTTACTAGTTGTTTGACAACATGCCAAGTTTATGAGTATATTGGCACTGGACCAATAGGTGATCAGATGGACTAAGTGGACATTTTACACATAATATTACAAAATATGTAGGCTGTGTTTGGACCCTCATAAATATTACAAAATATGTAGGCTGTGTTTACTCACCTTACATTATACCTTACATTATGTATACTGGGTGTGATCCAAATGAACGCGTGATTGCAAATACACAGCTGGCAAATGTGTGAGAGATCATAGTGCAAGTGTGTTTATCCTAGAGTAGTGATCTTTAATTGGCAGCTGAATCTAGCCCATCAAACCATCCAGTCAACTGGCTTGTCCACTCAGATGTTCTTTTTTGCCTGCCTGCACACCTCATCTTTATTCCTGTCGTCTGGTTACTCTTGCAATTTCTAGGTCCTGACAGCAGATCAGCAGAGGACTTTCAGTCGGATCGCGGCTGTGACTCGTGGTTTCCTCACACGCAGGCTGCTCCAGACAGACAAGATCAAACAGCTGCGACAAACCATAGTGGTGAGTTAACACACACTTGAAAAGAAACATGTATATATATAATGCCTGGATGTGTTTAAATGTGTGTGTGTGTGTGTGTGTGTGTGTGTGTGCGTGTGTGTGTGTGTAGGACACACAGGAGTTCATCCGTTCATTCCACAGTGATGGTCCGCAGAAGAAAAGCAGCTTCACAGCTCAAGACCTCTCCCTACAGGAGAGAGTTAAAGCCCAGGTATGAGTGTGAAATTCCTCTGCCCAGACAGCAGGGGTCAATCTTGTTCAATGTTTATGAAAATTTTCTATCTCTTCTCTCCCTTAGTTAAGGGCAGCTCTTTATGACATCCACGACATCTTCTTTGAGATGCCTCTGGAGGATCGATTAGCTCTGCTGCAGCAGGACAGGGAGATGCGAACAGAGAGGAAGCTGCGAGACTTGGTAACCAAAAAAATACAAAAATACTATTGTATTATTCAGAAGAAGAAATCAGAATACAAATATACATTTCCTTCAATATTTTGTCATTGAAAAGCAATCTCAATCCAGTCTTGTTTTTTAGCTTGTTTGTTATGTCTGGATGTTTGTGCATGTGTCAGGCATTTGTCATTAACAACTTTGTCATGTGATTATGTCAAACCTGCAGGACAAAAATAAGAGCTCCAAGGAGAGAGTGGTTCTGTCTGCTGCCACACAGAGGTCACTGGACAGAAAAAAGCGGTAGAGACAGAAACTCAAACTACCATGATAAATAATGGCTCTTGCATTCTTGTATTACATCCTTTTTATTATGACTCATACTGCTTAGCTGAAGTTTTATCCAATTCCTCCAGGGTCAGTGATTCCTCAGCACAGTCCAAGAAGATGCATGTGAAGCCCAAAAGCCCAACAACTAACAGGTGTTTTTTTTTAACCTCTCCTTGCCTCCAGGCTCAGTTCTAATTTGTTCTGCTCCCAGAAAAACTTTTTTTCTAAGTGCATTCTTGGTTTTACTTTCCAAGAGTCCTGAAGCCGAGTCAGTGCCAAAATTCTCCGGTCCTGGGCCAACTGAACCGCCAAGGGTGAGTTTACGTACAAGTAAATCTACTCCTGTACTTGTTTCATCATGCATTGTTTTATTGAAACTTTTATATGCAAATTGTCCTCCTTTTTTAAATTCCAATATGTTGTAGATCATAAACATAAAAAAAAAAGTTTCATAATAACCTTACATAATTATCATGTTCTCACAGGAGCTGGAACAGAAAGACCCCAGAGGAGAGAGTGAAGCGCTCGGAGAACCTGAAGAAGCAGCACTCCCTGGGTTAACAGGTGACTCCAGGTGACCTGACCTGTGAACTTGAAGTTTTACTTCTTTTTTTTTTTTTTTTCAAATACAAACATGAAACTCCAGAGGTTGCTGCTAAAACAATGTGATGTTTTTATTCTGCCTTTTAAATTTTAAATGATTGTAAAAGCTGACATAGTACCATCGTTATGGTTACCTATTAAATCTTTAAATGTTTAACAACTGGACATAAAGTTTGGTCAAGTCTAGGAGCTACAAACTAAACACTTAAAGTTTAATGACTAAATGCACAAGGTTTTATGTATATTGCCGATAAAAACAAAAAGTTATTTAAGTTTTTATCAGCTCACAAATGATTAAAATTGACCATTAAACAGTTAAAACTTAAGACCAAAGGAGCTGAAAGTAGAGAAATATTTGCTAGGGGTTAGCTAAAAGCTAGTTACAAAACTCATAATATGTAACTGATCCTCCATCTACTCAGATCTTAGACCATGAAAAGTTCCTCCTTCTACTCAGATCTTAGACCATGAAAAGTCTCTCCAAGTGCCACTCTTGCCCCTGGATGTGTATTAACCATAGTCTGTTTTTAAGGCTAACACCTAACAAGGAAGTTTTCCGTTACATGCACTAAGATACAGAGATGCAGTGAAGAAAAATGTAGTTCAATGTGTCATTTGTACATTTTTGTTACTTTTGTTAAAGGGCTCTGAACAACCTACCTGTGCTTTATTTTTACATTTTGGTGCTGGGTTTACAATGTTCAAAGTGTTCATATAAGTGGGAGATTAGCCTTTGACTGAATATAAACCGTAATGTAAAAAAACAAAAAAAAAACAACCCAACAAATACACACAAGCATTTGTTTACACTCTTAGAAGCAACTATATAAAAGCTGTGCATAAGATGTAGCCATGAATAATTAAAACATGTACACATGGAATATGCATGATGATTTTATCATTACTTTATCCACCTTTACGGCAAAGGCAGTATGAAAGAAATAGTATTAGACACTGAAAACCAGAATATTAGCTGTATGTTTTTGATATGTGGAAAACTTCTGTATCTGACTTTTATCACAGTTTTTGTGGGCTTTACAGTTGCATTTAAAACATATTGCAGTCCGTTCTCTATGCAGCATCCTTTACATTGGGACACAGCCTTTTTCTGAACCCCCTTCCTCTCTTGCTTGTCAACTGTGATGCCACGTTGTCCTTATACCCATGTTTTTATTGTAGTGCAAAGCAATTATTATATTTGTGTGTTCTGGTTTTATTTATTTTTATTTAATATTCTGAAATGTCATTGACCAATAAATTCAGAAGGTATTTGCCTTTTTATATATTTATCATACTTTACGTGTATATTTACCAGTTAATGGTATGTGCTTGTTAATTTGTGAAATGAATCACAATGCCTTAAAACTCAGGGCTAAAGAAAGAAACAGTTTAATAACATAATAACTATGCGGTAAGAATCGACATCAAGAATTTTGTAAAAACTCAATTTGTTATTAGAATATTGCAATATAACTCCAGTGAAGTAGAAAACAGTGCATTTGCACCCAATTAAACGAAAAGTTTAGGTCCGAATATTGTCACAATACATTGTATTCGCTTAATGTAGTGGTGCGATACATCTAAATAATTGATAGAGGGCGCCAAAGCAACTTCATTCTTTTGTCTAGATTCTGAAAGGCAGATTGTAAACGAGTCTGTTTTGTTTAATACTCCAAACCGTCAAAACAAAGGGAGTGAAAGTTTAAGAATAAAAGCACAAATGTAAACGGTATCCAACTTTTACACTTTAAGTTATTTTATAATTTTGCTGTGCACTTAGAAATCCTCTTGTCGAATTAAAGGCTCACCATAATTAAGTGGCTACAGTATCCTCTTCTTTAAAGGGAAAGTCTGCACCTTTATCATTTGCCTCAGTATCAGCAATAAGGATCAGATATTTTGAAATAGATTTGCAGCGGATTTGGCTTATTTTGCTTCTTAAAACCAAGAGTATATTTTATTTATCGTCACCCTGTTCACCTGCCTCCACTTCCAAGCCCAGCTTACCAGACCTTTCCATGACCCTGCTCAGTGGTGACAGCTGCACGCAGCCTTTAAAGAACACCACACCATCCCAGAATCAACAGAACAATGGTTCTTTCAAGACCCTGGGACAGACGGACCTGGTCTTGAGCACGACCTGCCTCGGTCCCAGCCACCCAGGTGTGCCCTGCTCACCCTGGCAAAACAACTCTTCTATTTATCAACTATTTACCTCACTTTACCTCATTTCCCTGCTCTATATTTTTAGTCCTGCTGGGCAGTCAGGGGATTTTCCTGTTGACAGATTTATTCTCAAACCCCAGAGAAGCCAGGAAAACAAATTTACGGTCAACCTGACCCCGGATGTAGGAATTAGTGAACAACAAGATCTCAGTGGAGAGTACAGAGTGAAGGAAAGCCACAAAGATGAGAGGGGCAATTAATACTTTACATAGGGTGGTGAACCTGTAGACCTTTTCCAAAAATATATAAATTCTGTCAACCTATAGTACACCTGTGTTTTTTCTTAACCCAACACACAGGGCATGTCTGTTCCCTGATAGTTTTATAGTTATATGTGCGTTAATGTCTTCTGCCCATAAAAGGTAAATAGGAAGTGATGAGCCTCGAAAAAGTACTATAAGATGTGAGAAAAATAAAGCATATACATCAATGGGAGAATCAAATATGTATATTCATGTAATGACTACAGGTGCAGCCAAATATGCTGTAGTCACAGATTAAGCATTTATTCTCATCTGGACCTGGTAACCATTCTTTAAAACAAAGACTTTTTAAGTTGGTATCTCAGAAAAGATTTCATTTTTTTGATGACATTATCCCAGAAGCATTTTTGTGTTTTGCAAACAGAAACGTCACCCACCCGCTGCTCCGCAGTTGTACCATTTAATTTTAAATTTGCTGGTCCAGGTATTGATGTAAATTATCCATGAATTATCCCCTCTGATAACTTAATCCCTGTTGGTTAAAGTATCCGAGGGGAAGGAAGTCCTAACTAATGATTAGTTTAGGTCTGGGACCATCAGACACCGGAGGTTCCTTCAGTGTAGAGGACATCTGTGTGTGAGGGAAACATCTACGGAATGATGCGTGAGAGGATGGCTCTGGTTTATGGGGCTCTGAAGGAAAAAAAAGCTTGATAAGTGAGGAGGTTTAAAACATTTCCTCCTGTTATAGAAACAATTGTTACCTGGAAACCAAACATGGCCACTCACAGGCCCAGGAGGCTTCTGAGAAGGAGAAGACAAACAGAGTTAGGATAAATCTAAATGCCTCTTTCTCTCCTCCTTCATTCATTATCTGCTTGTTTTTCATCCTACCCTTGGTTTCGGGCCATAAAAGGAAGGGTGTCGTGTGATGGATGGCAGTGGCGTCTCTGAATGAACAGGGAGCCGCGGTGCCACTCTGAAGAGCTCCTGCAGTTTCTCCATTCAGCCCCATTCACTAAAGACAACACGGAGGAAACCCCCCCTCCCCTACTGAGCAGAAACATCACAGTCTGCCTGACAGTCCCCCCCCTTCACTCCCCTCTCCCCCCATGGTCCTCACATCCAGACCCAGTAACTCTGCTGTATTTTTATAGTGTTTGACAAACTGCTTCTTAGCAACCAGACCTGAAGCACAGGGAGGCCCATCTCCCCTGTAGTACTCTTAAAGTTACTTCAATGGACACTCCAGAGGTAAAAACAACATCAATTTACAAGTTTTGTGTGTAATGAAAAGTATTTTAGAACTACACTGACACACAGCTGTCTGTGGCTTGTAGTCAAAGCTAAGTGTCGGAAAACAGGAAAGAAATAACAAAAACACAACTTTTGATTTATTGGTCTGTAAATGTCTAATAAAAGCAGGGATGATAAATCTGGGAAGCCTCTCACCAAATTTTAAAAATTTTCCTTGAGCATTTACAAAAAATGCTACTTTAATATCTCCTGAAATAGAACATGATGTCAATTTGGTAAACCCCAATCCCATTTTGTAAAAAAAAAATATAACTCCAAGCTCTTATTGAGTGTTCTGGATGATGATCCCATGTCACGTTTCTTATATCCATGTTGTGTTAGTGTCTGTTTTCCACTAAATTGGATTACATGAACTAGAGACATCCCAGTCCCAGCTGCATCCATTCTGATTGGCTGATCACTTCCACCAACTTCCGCAGAATCTCTTTCTTTCCTTCTTCTCTCAGGTTCTTTTGGAACTCTTACCCTCCTTAAAATACATAATCTGAATAACATGAGCTCTAAATGTTCCCCATAAAAATGTAGGATCTGTCTTTGACCTTTTTAACTTATCTATGTATTGTTAGTGGTGAAACGGTTAGCATTTGACGCCTTGCTCATCAACAGGGACACTACACTTGTGTTTCCTTTCTCGTGCAGGTAATTGGGGTGTTTCTACTGGAGGTGGAAAGATTTACCAGTGGAAAAGTCTGTGTGGACTTACCCTTCTCCTGGTCATCATCCGATTGCCTCCCTTTTTTATTCCTGCATATGCCCAGTCAGACTCCAGTCTGGATGGACGTCTGAGCTGCGTCTGTTGACAGCCAGTGTCTCACACAGTGGAAAAGCCGCAGCACACACAGACACAGCGCGGCCATGTGCAAACAGATTGACTAATGTTGACGGATGTGAGGCTTCCCCTCTCCTCTGCGGGACTTTAGGAAAGTTGACAACGTACTGTTTCCTTTCCTTCCACCGTTGCGGCTTCATCACCTTTTATCCCTCCTGGCAGTGACAAATTCATTTACAACTTTGTGTTGATTTAACATTTACTGATGCCACTTAACACAGAGTGCGCTGCCAGTCTTTTGGGAGAACCCAGCCCCGTGTGTCTCCATGTGGCAGAAGCCCAGTCTGAGGTTGAGTCTCTGTGGGTACAAGAGCTCAGGCGTGGTGGGAAAACCTCCACATCCTTCTTTGGGGCCTTTGAGCAGCCTTTAAATGTGGTAAATATGCCACATTATTTACCAGTATTGATCATCCAAAGGCTTCCATTTAGTTTAGAACAAATA